GATAATAGCATAAACAATTTTAATATTGCATAATTTTATGTATAGTGATGTAAGACTGTTTTTTTATATAAATTTAACACATGTTTTTTATCTATTTTAATGATTATAAACTGTACATATATATTTATATTTGTATTGTACTATATTAACTATGTGACTGGTTCTATATCTATGTATATGGATTTATGGAATATACAATAAATGAATGAATGAATGAATGACACGAACTAGTGAATGCTTTGCTGGATTTGAGGTTCTCACATCAATGACTTATCAACAGGCCTATCTTCTGGGATATGGCACCATGTCGGCTGGCAAAAGTCAGTGCTCCAAAAGAACATATTGCCTCAAAATACGTGCTTTATGCGTCATTATCGCTTGTCTTACTCTGAAGATGGACGCAGTATGTTCTTCCGAAACGTCTGTTTACCATCGCCGGACTACACGGCGTTATACCGCAGAAGTTCACAGCAAATGATAATTTGTATACTATAAGCAACGGCGAAAGACCTTATTCATGTGGGAAATAAGAAATGAACTTCCCGTGACCATAGTGGAGATACCTAATTCATGTGAAATTTGTAATATGATCAGGTGAGAATTCACGTGGTAAAGCGTTTTGGTCACGGATCCGAGCTTCGGAGAAAATGATCTTTACCGTGGTTAGTGCTTTCATGTGTTCGAAAAAGATCGCGTATGTACAGTGTGGTTACGTAATAATGACGTTAATTCGCTTATCCTTCGTTGTAGGTGGAGAAGTCCGCAGACACGGAATAGCGTGTGTGCGCGCTGAATACTTTATTAATTTCCTTTATTTTCCATATATCCATACTTTGAATCAGCTTTGATGCGTATCATGTCCTTAGGCAAATACGATTTAATTATTGTTCGAAATTTTCATCTGGGACTCTGAGGTTTACAAACATGCTTGTATGCCCGAGAGTTTTCATGTTAAATACAAATATGGTAAATTTAAGAATGTCTTTTATCTGGAATATAGTAATACGAATGAATGAATGCATAATGGGTAGGTCTAAAGGGGCCTTTGCACCGCTACTTACAAATATATGGTGAAGAAACAGCCCCCACCCCAATTGAACTTTCTGATGAGTCACCATAACGTCGCAATTGAAACTAAAAAGACCCGATTTATATTCCGCGTGTTTTGATAACAAACAGTATGACCAACATTAGCAACAGTAGTTTCACGGTCACATACGTCACATAGATGAACAGCCCGCACGTAACGAAGCATATAGCCAATATGACAAATTCCGTGTTATTTATATATGTTATGATGGTTAAAAGACGAAAGAGATGTAATTCATTTGTGTATGAACTGAGTCCATGTTAAGAGATCGGAGGAAGTATTATTAGCAAACCTAGCGAACACTGCTTTAGGAGAAGGTCATGAAGGTCATGAAGTAGTTCCATACGTTTTTTCGGTTATCCAAAGTTGAGACTTCCAAGTGTATTAAGCATAAACTGGTGTTGAAATGAATGCATATTTGCAACAGGTTTCCAGAAGTTTGGTAAGTGAGATTTGATTATCGCAAGTCGGAAAGATTTTTGGTTCACAGGTACAGGAGAATTCATTTTAATTTATCTGTTTTAAAGCAGCGAAGTCCATTTTGTGTTGTGTTGGAGATGTTTCTTTTTATCAGTTCAAGACCTCAACGAGTGTCTGACGGAAAGAATGATTTGAAATGAACCTATTATTTTTTTTTATTGCTAGTGGGGTGGGACTAAGTTCCTTGTACTGCGGCCACTTCTGGCCTAATGTACCAGCCCTAGATGATACGTGAGGATGACTGTGGAGCAATTGGTGGAATGAAGATTGGCAGGGGAAACCGAAGTACTCGGAGAAAACCTGCCCCAGCGCTACTTTGTCCACCACAAATCCCAACATGACTAAACACAGAATGGAACCTGGGAATTTAACCTAAAACGGTCAACAATGGCCTGTGTAGGAATTTTAAATTAAATCATGGATATGAACCTCTTTTCGAATAACTGGTTAAGGTTAAATGTTATGTTGCGATGTGTGTTCTTAAAAATATTTTCATCATATCTGAGAATTGAGGTGGTTGTGTGGTGTGCACAGTTTGAGCATAATCAATAGTTTTAACCCAGCATTTTCCTTTTGGATTTTTACTTTGTAATAATAATAATAATAATGATGATGATATCATTGCAGGCTGAGTTGTCCAGATTCTCAGCAGTGAATATTGTGATGGGAAATGAGTCATGTGACCTAGATTCTACCATTTCAGCTTTGGTTTATGCATATCTTCTATACAGCGAAATGAGTGTCGATGCCAAGGAGACTGTCACTGTTATTCCACTGCTTAAGATCTTGAAGAAAGAATTTCCTCTGAAGACAGAGGTGACATACTACTTGAAGAAGAATGGTATACCAATGGACCTTCTTGTATTTTGGTTAAGTATCAATTAATTCCTTGTGAGTTAATGGGAAAGATTGTCTTAGTTGGCAGGATTCTGGAAATAGAATTTAAATCCATTAGACATTTACATGAAGAATGTATTTAACTGTGTGCCTGCAGTTAAACTTCTATTTTAAGTTTTCTGTGGGGACCACTGCATTTAGAGATATTGGGTTTTCGGACTTTATCCATCGTCCTGGTTTTTAAGATAAGTAAGAAAAAAACACGACGTTTCGGAAACTGGATCTCTTTCCGTCCTCAGGTGAGGAAAAACTGCTATTCTGTTGGGTCCCTTAGAAAGAGCTAGCCTCAATCCAGTCCAGTCAGGTGAGGAAAAACTCCTATTCTGTTGGGTCCCTTAGAAAGAGCTAGCCTCAATCACTGGACTGGATTCAGGCTAGCTCTTTCTAAGGGACCCCAACAGAATAGGAGTTTTTCCTCACCTGACTGGACTGGATTGAGGCTAGCTCTTTCTAAGGGACCCAACAGAATAGGAGTTTTTCCTCACCTGACTGGACTGGATTGAGGCTAGCTCTTTCTAAGGGACCCAACAGAATAGGAGTTTTTCCTCACCTGAGGACAGAAACAGATCCAGTTTCTTGAAACGTCATGTTTTTTTTCTTAGTTATCTTAAAAACCAGGACGATGGATAAAGCCCAAAAACTCAATATCTCTGTGTGTTATACACCATCGTCAGAATCCTATAGCAACTACCACTGCATTTGATCATGAAACTGAAGAAAATCTTGCATGCAGGAAATTTAAGACTGAGATTATTGACTTGTGATCATTGAAGTTGAACGTTAAATGTGGGAAGTTTTCAGTCTAAAGTGAAGCTCAACTGTGTACAGATTTATTTAGAACATGTTAACATTTTGGTTTCCAGGGACAGTATAAACCTGAAAGAGTTACAGATGACAAGCAGACTTAAACTGACTTTGGTGGATCACCATGTTCTGTCACCGGAAGCTGAATTTCTGTGCTCATCAGTGGTGGAAGTTATAGATCATCACCCGCAAGATCCAGCATGGCTTTGGCCAATGCAGAAGGTAACCCTGACCACAGTTGGATCTTGTTGTACTCTTGTTGCCAGCGAAGTGGTGCAACGCTGTCCCGGGCTAATCAGCAGTCAGGTTGCCATGTTATTGTATGGTGAGTTTGTAGCACACCATTGGTCCATGTTTCAGTTCACTGGTTCTCCTGTCATTCTAGGATGGGGACTGTTTGTTCACTGAGTGATGTAAATGAAGGGCTGGGGTGAGGGGGGGGGGTTGGGAGACATGTTGAAGTTTGTTTAAGAGAAATAAATACTATTTTCAGAAAATTAGTAGCATTTTGCTTTGTTTTCTGTTGCTGTGAGACTCAGTGTTTTTTATGATTGTACCTGCCTCATGCATTCTTGACATTCATGTATGTAAAAGTTTGTGACATTGTCTCGTACAGGGCCCATCATTCTGGACACAGCGTGTTTCTCGCAGACTGCAGGTCGAACCACTGAGCTTGACCTTAAAATGGCAATGGAACTTGAGAACAGGGGTGTTGATTCAACAAGAAGAGAGAAATTATTTCAGGAACTGTTGGCTGCTCGCAGTGACGTTAGCAACCTCACACCAAGTCAGCTATTGGAAAAAGACATGAAAATTACATTAGGTATTCCAGTACCCGGCCTGCCTATGCTTGTCCAGGTATGTTTTAATTTCTTCCGCAGAAAATGTCGTTTCATTTGTTTCTTAATATACTGAGCCCTTAAAAGATGTGCACCACCTGCCAGCCTTTGCAGCTGCAGTTAAATGTTAGCAAGTCCGTACTGCTGGAGTATGTTGATAAATATATTGCCTTTGTAGGTCAGAGGGAGACAGGAAGGGAACTCACAGCTGAGACACTAGTGCAGTCTAGTTGAGATATGGTATGACTGTTTCAGTAGAGCAGTAAATGATATTGGTGACAGTGGGTTACTGATACTGTGTTAAGTACATGCATTTATTATTAATTTTCAGTGATTCCAAATCAGCTAAAAATTTCCTTTTGTTTATTGTTCAGATCCAGTGCTCCCCAAAGAAACGTTAAGTGGAGGTTTTTGTATCCAATAATCAATGCGGAATATCAAGCACGTGCCTTGAATATACGCTTTCATGACTTTCCTAAGTTTGTAGTGAACAGGTGGAGCCGCCATAATAGTCCTTTACTCCCAGTTAGAATTGATACTGACTTTGTACATCTCTTAATTAGAGAAAGTTCTCTAGTTATCTTCCAAAGCATCTGCCAATTTTGGGAGGGTTCCAGCACCCTGGATAGCAGGACAATCAGGGCTGGCAGAAGGGACACAACAAGATCTCCACAGCTATAAATTTTCTTTTTCATATTTTACATTTGTAAGGAAAAGGGAGGAACATGTGAAATAACCGAGACTTGATCCAGATTATTTTGAACCCAAAACTTTCTGTTCACAGGTCATGCTGCTGTTCTTGTGTGCTTTGAGATAGGGACTAGCTCAGTCAATTGTGCCCAGCTGAGTAGGCTTTTACCTGAGGACAGGGACAGAGTCCAGTGTCCGAAACGTTGTTTTTAAACCCCCGCAAAAATCGGGTCGTGGGTAATGTCCAGAAAGTTAATAATTATCTTACTATATCATTGTCATATATTTTTAGAGTTAAATAATTGGATGATTCTCACTAATTAACAGGTGGTGCTGAGTAAGTTGGTTCAAGTGGTGACACATTTGATTTGTATTCCAGAAGTGCCCAGGGGCTAGGGCACCTCCTATCCTGATTGAGACTTTTCGTGGTTTTGTTTAGTTCCTCCAGGCAGATGCAAAGCAAGCACCATGAATTAAGCTATGATTGCTCCTTCTGCATCCTTTCAAATTCATTATTCACTGCCATCCGTTATTCATAACTGTACAGTCTGAGTTAGTCTCGGTATCATTAAATAACCTACAAATAAATAAACCCATGTGCACAGCCCTTCCTTCTATGTATTTTATTGTAATAATTGCTGGAATGGCTTTGAATTAGAGTTGCAATTGGTTACTTATAGGTATTGGGGCATGAGGTAGCATTATTGGTTGAGGCACCATGCTATAAGCCGGAAGGTTACAGGATCGATTCCCGATGACGTTATTGGAATTTTCAGTTGACGTGTTCCTTCCAGCTGCACTATTGCCCTGAGGTTGACTCAGCCTCCAACAGAAATGAGTACCGGGAATCCTTCTAGGGGTAAAGGGTGGCTCCAGCACATAAGGCTGACAGCCTTACTGCCATCTATGAGCAAGTAGTCTAGAAAATGTGGGACCCTCGATATATCACAACCGTATGGACTTTCATGGCCTATTATAGGGATAGCTATACTTTTCTTATTCTTATAGGTACTGAATTCTTTAATTCATAGTGTTCTCAGGACAGTGGGTTGTTCAAGAAATTTCCACCACAGTGTCCTTCCATTGTGCCCAGTCATCAGTCACTTAAATCAATTTTACATTTATAGAGTGTAACATTCCCAGATTACATCGCTGCCCCCCAGACTGATCTCCATGTGGTTTCCAAATCTTTTTTATCCACAGCCATTACTTCCTGCATGCACACTGTGTACCTCATCCATCTCAGTCTCCAAAGTTAACAAGCCTGACAGTAGAGGACGCATGGGCTTCACATGGAGACGTAGATCATTACGTTCCCATCAAAATGCCACTGAAGTCTATTTTCAGCATATGATGAGCACCAAAATCACCATACAGGAAAACCTGGTGAACACACAGGACTTGTTGACAGAGAACATACTACATGTTATGAAGATTCCATCCTAATGTGTGTGTTCCAGGAATTTGTGGCCTACCCAGATGTGACAGAAGCCCTGAAGAAATTTTGTGCAGAAAGGGAAACGAATGTCACAGTTTTGATGGGCCTCCTTATCGATGGTGACCAGATTCAGCGAGACATAGCTGTGTTCTCTTCTGCAGAACCCAGAATTGCTCAAGAGGTATGCTTCTTTCTCAGTGCCCACATTTTGTGCATTTTGTATAAAGAATGCAGAGAAATTTGTCCATAATTTATTAATTTCTGTTTTTTAGGTCATTAAATGCCTCATGAACTCTACTGATCCTGCCTTGCAGCTTGAGTCTTTTGAAGTGGCATCAGAAAATCACATTCCTGGTCTTCAGCTGTTCAGACAGCTGAACGCCAAGGCGTCTCGTAAACAAGTGCTGCCAATTGTAAGGTGTGCAGCAGAATGCATAGTAAAGCGCTGCCAAAAGTAGGAATGTGGGGCTCTCGGTCATGTTTTGGAACAGTGCCATGGGTTAGGAGCAAGAAAACCTGAGGACATAACAAAATTGGATTTTAACAGAAGAATTGTACATAGTATAAGTGAAAAATTGTTTTGTATTATCCTGCTGATGGAATTTGTTAGCTGAGGTAAAATTGTGTATTGCAAATTTGCTTCAGGAACCCTCTGCTTGAAGAACTAGTGAAATGAGAAGCTAAATAGGAATCTGTTGAGACAGTTGGCAGCAGTGTGAACAGAACATTTTCATTAGAAATGACACCCATTGAATCTGGGACATGTAAACATTGCTGCATGTGAAAGTGTCATGCCAAAGAATAAAAAACCTTATATGTCCCATGTTATTTAGATTATAGCTCAGTTATGTTTTCGTCATCTGGAAACTCACTTTGTGGAAGTGGTTGACTACCGTAAGGCTCCATTAAACAAGATATTATGCTTCTTTCGAGGCACAGGACTAATAAAGGGCTTCATTTTAGGAAAAGCGTGTACATTAGATTCTGTCATTGTCATGGCGGACACTGAAGGTCATAATGAGAGATGCCTCTCTTCCTTTGCTAACATAACTAGTGTTGAACAAGATGGAAAGTGCCTTGATTGCACAGAATTAAGACTTTAACTACTTAAAATAAAAACTGAATTACTCTCGTATGAAGAAATAATAAGAGTGCTACATCAGAAAAACCTAAACAATGCCGAACCTGCAGTGCAAGATCTCTCTGAGGAGTATTTTAGACTTCAATCAGTACAGGAAGGATGGGCCCAATCAGTATCCAAAAATTACAAGAAAAAGTACAATATGGCAGCAATTTGATACAAATATTCCCCGCTTTAATAAAGAGATGAGGTCCTTTCTAACCTCCAAGAAGATGAATCATTTAATATAACAGCTAAGGTCACGAAAACCCAGAATTCAAATAACTGTCCGCAAGTAAAAGGAAATATTCAGTTAGTGAGAGGTGTAGAAAAAAGTGGACATAAAGTGCTGATATTTGGCGATAGTCATGCAAAATATGTGTGTTGGAACTTCGTCATAAACTTGATCATGAGTATGAAGTCTGTGGTTTTATTAAACCAGGATTTGTAACCAACAAGATTATCAGGACTGTGGCAATTCTCTGGGCATTAGTGTAACAACTCTAAAGAAGCTTTAAAAAATTTATCTTAATTTATGAATGCTAATAAGAAGGTGAATATTATTTTAATAAATGCATTACCTAGACATGATCTTATGCCTACTTCTTGTGTTAATAATGAAGTAGTTAAATTTAATAGACAATTAAAGAAAATAGTTAAGTTACATGGAAATGCTGAGTTTCTAGAAGTAGAATTACCAAGAAAGCACTACACTAGACATGGTCAACACTTAAAAATAATGGCAAAGATCTAGTCTCCGTAGAATTAGCCAAGTCAGTAAAACAGTGTTTAAAAAAGAAGGAAACTTCTCCTATTCAAATGAACTGGAAGGACGTCAACCTAGTTACTCAGAGAAAAACTGTAAAAAACATGGAACCTGTCACTTTTATGGATTCTCTAAGATTAACCAAGGGCGATACTGGTAAAAGTAGAAACTGGGAAGTCTTATCCCATGCTGTGGACCCTGAAATGCAGGCCAAAGGAGTAGGTAGAATATTTGAAGATAGAACACAAGTAAGTAGGTCTTCAAGCAGGCATAACAAAGCCACCATTTCAAAAAGTAAGGATTTTTTATGGTATATGTAAACTCATAAAGACAAAAGTATTCAAGGAATAAGTGAAATAGGAGTGATGACATAAATAGATCATCCAAGATATTTCATCAAAATATAAGGGGTATAAATGGTAAAATTAAAGAGTTAATGATTTTTCTACTAACTGATGAACCTAGTATAATTGTCTATCAGAACATCACCTAAATGTCCAGGAAATGGATGTCACGCATATACCTAAATACAAATTTGGTTCTGGTTATTGCAGGAAGAAATTTAAAAATGGTAGTGTTTGCATATTCGCCCAAGAGGATCTAAATTTCATTCCCTTAAACCTACAAAAATATTACAAGGAACGTGATATTGAAATCGCTGCTATTAAAGCAGAACTAAACTAGGAAAAGATAATTGTTCTTTTTATATATAGTTCCACATTAGGTGATCATGATTTTTTCTTAAATAGACTGGATTGTGAACTAAATTCTCTCATCAAATATAACTTAGAATTTATAATATGTGGGGATATAAATATCGATTACTTGGAAAATAATAATAGGAAATCAAAACTAGNTATTCATTGATAACAGACGAAGCTATAGCATTAAGCCATGTATTAATGGTCTATCTGATCATGATGGTCAGCTTATGTTATTTAAGAGTATTACTGTCTCCAGTAATGTTTTTGGACCTTTTTTTTTGTTAGAAATATCAATAAGAATAATATTGAGGAATTTAAAAAGTTGCTAAGTTGGGAACAGTGGGACAACATCTTTGGGAATAATAATGTCAATGTTATGTTCAACAACTGTCATGATACATATTTAAGATGTTTTTTATGCTTGCTTCCCAAAAAGAGAAGTCGAGCATACACGTAATACGATTAATAACAATTGGATTACTAGAGGGATAATGATTTCATGTAAAACAAAAAGAGAACTATTTTTGCAAAGCAGGCAATGTGATGATTTAGATCTTAAAATATACTATAATCAATATTGCAAAGTATTATCAAGAGTGATCATGGTGGCAAAGAAATCATATTAAAATAAAATTATTTTCAATTCCAATAATAATAATAATAAAAAGAAAAGTATTTGTGGAATAATGAATGCAGTAAACTTCTAATGTGAGGTGATGGGATTGGCAGTGAATGTATTAACATTGAAAATCAGAAGGAATTACATGAGTTAATTTGATATTGTGCTTTGAAGAGTTGTTTACCTCCATCTTAGTGTATGAGGTAGGTATGCTATTTCTATTTATACACTGGCAACTGTCTACAGGACTCACATGACATCCCAGAAGACTTGAGTTAGGATCTCAAAAGCTAACTTATTTATGATTTTCTTAAGTATCTCCACATGAACGCAAGAATCTTTCTCAGAATGATAAGTGATATATCTTGAAGAGAGCAGTCCTCTGAGTTATAATTCCATTTTGTAGAAGTCCACTGACATTTCAGAGGAACAGTTCGCATACATTTTCAGTGTCTTTGCCCAAAAAGTTGGGTGATGTGACTCCCCTGTGATGTTAGTGAACTAATACCAAACTGCATAGTGTTACAACCTAGAACTCATTTCAGTGACATTGTATGATTGAATGTGTTGCCTGGCAATGCATTATAATAACCTAGATTTTGCTGTTCAGGCTATACTGGATAATCTGTCTAAAAAGTAGAAAGTTTCTTGGGACAGGTTAATTCCCTGTAGTGGGCAGGGAGGAACATGTTGGTACTTATATCTTGTAATGGAAACAGAGTGGATTTTACTTGGACCTTTTGCGTTTCATTAAATGGGAAGCTAGATTGAAACTTGGAATGTCTGGCAAAGTTGTAGTTCTATGATATGTTTTTTCTAATTTATCCCGTGATATACTGCTAAACTGCAGTGGGAAGCCAGCAAGAGAGAGAATAAAGAGGCCCTAGACACAGGTGGGTGGATAATATAAAAATATTTCGCGAAGAAAATTTGGTGGGGTGGTGTGAATTGCATTCATCTGGCTTGGGGATGCGAACCAGTGGCAGGCTATTGTGAACAATGTAGAGAATCTTTAGGTTCAGATATTTTGAAAAATTCTTCAAGAGTCGAGGACTCAGCCTCAAATATTTACAAACGGGTGCAGATTTTATTTGAGTGGTTTAATTAAAGAACTAATTTGAAAAAAGTCATAAATCGATAAATTTTCGTTACGTTGGTAGTCATTATCGCGAGGTCCAGTGGCATATTGTGCCACCTTGTGAGAAGAATAGTTTTGTCATTGGACGAGGCATGTTGTTCCATCTCGCGGCAACGATTAACATCATCAGTATAGTCGTGGGCGCCGTGGGATACATGTTACGGCGTGTAATTCATTAGAACAGTCGTGTTCGGTGGTGTCGAACGTGTTGGTCGGTGTTGAAGGTGGAAGAAGGGGTGTATCATATGAAATAAACGTGTAGCAATGGAAGCAATTGTTGAAGAACCAGTTGTTGTAAAAATCTACCCAGGACTGAAGGAAACACCAGAATTCCGCGGTATGTTATTTATATCACGTATCATGACATCATCCACAGATGAAACTCTTTTAAGTGATTTGGATACAATTTTGGAAACGAACTGCTTGTGCCCAGGAGCAATATTTTGATTTATTAATTAACCTCTTAAATATTCAGGCCTGAATGTCGATTTGTTTAACGGTGCCAGTGCCATTGTGCTTTTATATTTATGAATTTCGTAATTTCAGCAGTAGCTGTTTACCGCGGAAACAAAAACAAAACAGCGTTGTGTTAAAATGGTGTGTGTTAGGTATACTGTTAAATAAAAAACAAATTAAGTGACTGGTTAAGGTAGTCAGATGGGGTAAATTTGGTGTGTCAAGTCCAGTGTAAAATGGGTGGTACATACAGCATACAGGGAACAGATGTTTTGCCTCGAAAATATAAGAAAGGGAAAAACACTTCTAGGAGACCTTGACTTAGATGGAAGGAAGTTGTTAAAGTCGAGTTCAGAGAATGAGTGGTTTCGGTTAGCATGGGTTGAAGCCTGGCGGTGGTGCAACCCTCAGTTCCGTAGGAGTCAACGACATGTCAAAGACATTTGTCTTTGTGGTGACTGTTCAGACCGATCGCCCTGATGTGCTTGTTTACACGGTTCCGGATTATGGGAATGCAACGAGGCGCATTTGCAGATGACGCAAGTGACCTTCAACTGTCCACACGCCAGCCCACGGCGTTTTGTTAGTACATGGAAGCTGTTGTTACTGTTTAGCTCCTACTAAAGTATCCCTTTAACAGGCTGTGGAGGCCCATAAGGTTGTGAGATGCTGAGGTTCCCACATTTTCTAGGCAATCGGCAAGGTTGTCAGCCTTACGCGCCGGCCGCTCTTTACCCCCAAGAATATTCCTGGTACTCATTTCTGTTAGAGGCTGAGTCGATCTCAGGGCCATAGTGCGGTTGGAAGGATTAGGTCAATTTAAAAAAAAATCCAGTGACCTTATTGAGACTTGAACCCGCGGCTTGTAGCATAGTACGTCAACCACATACGCTACCAGTATGATAAGAAATAAATCGATGGAAGGTATGGATTGAATTCATCTGGCGCAGGATCGGTATCAATGGCTGACTCTTGTGACCGCTGTAGTTACCTTAGGGTTCCATGAAATGGTGGAGAGTTCTGAGTAGCAGAGCAGTATTTTTTTTTATTGCGAGTGGGGTGGGACTAAGCCCCTTGTACTGCGGCCACTTCCGGCCTATTGTACCAACCCCAGTTGATAGGTGAGGGTGATTGTGGAGCAATTGGTGGAATGAAGATTGGCAGGGGAAATCTAAGTACTCGGAGAAAACCTGCCCCAGCGCGACTTTGTCCACCACAAACCCCACTTGACCAGACCCGGAATCGAACCCGGGCCGCCGCGGTGAGAAGCCAGCGACTAACCGCTTGAGCTATGGCGCTAGCAGAGCAGTAAATACCTTCGCAAGAACTCGCTTCCATGGAGGTAGTTGGTCAGCATCGTTTGCCGTTTGTGTTACGGCGCTCTGTGTAGGATCGGTAGGATGGTTGCAGAATGAGAATGGGAAAGGATTTTGAAGGACGCGGTTGTGGCCAGATCGAGTTTGTTTGGAAGAACAGGCAATCCGCGGTAACCTCGTGCTGGCCCCTCCCGAGTACAAGTTTCGAACTTCACCACTGCACCTACTTGCTCAGTGCTAGTTGCCATAGTAAGAATTAAAATTCGTATTGAAGAATGCCATCTTCTGAAATTTCAGAGGAATTTAGAGCCTCCATCTCCAAGGTGTATAAGTAAGTCAAGAAGTCAACTAACGAGAAACAGGCAACAGGGGTTATGGTCTTCATAGGCAGTCAACAAAGATTCATGTCGTGGTTGCCTACCAGACTGTACAGGTGCCGTAACCCAGTATTTGCAGAAAGACACGGGGGCAGTTCACAAAGCGATGTCCTGCTGTTTCGCTACTTCGCACACGTCTTCATGGCGTGGCCTGTAATTCAGCGCAGAGACAGCCTTGCTTTTGTTCCGAGCAGGTTGGCATAGCGGTAACTCTCGGGAGATGCTGGGTTGGAATCTCCTGCGGGGACCTCGGTCGTCCCGACTGAAATTTTTCGCAGTTTTCCTCAGCCTCCCAAGGAAATTTCGCGAGAGTACCTCGGTCAGGTTACGACCGTTTCCTTCCGAATCCCCTTCAATTAATTATTCATCTGCCACCGTGAGTAGTGCCCTTTTCTGTGACTGTGTTGCGGTTCTCATTAAGAAATGAAGGGTTTAGTCCAAGCGTCTTGCCTCATCCGACTGCTCTGTGATGACGTCACAACAGGCGATCCATTTGTCTGTTGGCCGCCAACACTCCGCCATATTGATTCCATTAACATGGTTGAGATCAATTTGCATGCACTTGTGACTGCCAGTACATCAACCGTTTAAATCTCTGTGGTCACTATATGTACCACCCGCTTTAACATACCAAAACAATGCATTCTGCTCACAGAATGTATTTGTGTGTTCCGTTTGGTTCTCACAATAAACAGCGACTGTTTCCCTAAACAGCATTAACCGGTCGGGCTTTGTAGCTCAGACGTAATGAGTTTCCTGTGAGGTACGGACTGAGGTTTCTGCCCACAGAGTGTATTTGTGTGTTCCATATGGTTCTCACAATAAACAGCGACTGTTACCCTAAACAGCATTAACCGGTTGGGCTTTGTAGCGGAGACGTAATGTGTTTCTTGTGAGGTACGGACTGAATCTTTATATACGTATCTTATTTAGAAGAAGGTCGGTCTTCGAAGTTGCTCCCCATGTGGATCCAAGTTGGAATATTTCCGCCGTAGCCCTGTGAGTCGTAGGAGGCGACGAAAAAGGAACTAAGTTCCTGGGGCATATGAATACGGGGGCCTCGCCCTCCAGGTTGAGTGAGTCTTCTAATCTGAGGCAGTACAGTATGGTCATGGGTCCCGCTGGACTCGGATCTGATAGTAACTGTGCCGGCGAGGACCACCAGCACTTGTAAGCGATAGACCTGCCCTCTCGTGAGAGAGCAGGTCAACCAACCTGCAAATGTCGGACAGCAACAGATATCTGGCCTTGGGCCCCAGATGGGTGCTTGACACCAAGACATACTGGCCAACTGACCGTCTGTCGTAACGTAACTTTGACTACGTATGATAAGAAGGTCAACTCGATCCAGGTTTCTCATATATTTCCTCGATCCTGGAGCAATTGTTTAGTTGGTACTCAAATTTCTCATTGCACTACATGCTTCACGTGAAGCCCTCCCAAAAAAAATGATTAAAATCATGCGCAGTAAAGCTCCGTCCGGCTCGACTTCTTTTCTCGTAACAGAGTCCACTTCCTAGTCCTGTACCCCGTTTCACTTCACACAGCTGCATCCTCTCAGACGTATCTCTAGTAGGACAAGTGGGCACTGCCTGGGAACTTTTAAAACGAGAGAATAAAATGTTCCTGGCCCCCCTTAAATATACATTATTCACTACCCTAACATCCCCATTTTCTGTGTTCTCTCTTCTTCATATCATATATGAGAAAAGTAGCTCCTGAACGGTTTGGTTGGGCGGATGTCATTCGGAGTTTATAGATCGTAGGTCGTTACCCGTTGGATATGAATATTGTAGCTCCATAAATGGAGGTCCTTGAGATTGGCCCCAAAACACAAAATGGCAGTCATCTCGAAAACGGTACTTACATGTCTGATTAAACTCCACTGCTTTATGGAGACCATATCTCTAAATAAGGCTGCATATGTGGCATGGGTGCACGCACTCAGGGCTCAGATGTTTTCGCGACACAACACGTCCAAGCTTGCGTAACCGGCGGCCAGTAATGGTCTACCGAGCAGCGCTCAGTTTCTCGTGTAAAATAACGTAATCAGGCTGTCATGTTTGAGAAAGTGTGTGCCGTGCCTTAGAACGTCGGAATTACTGGGTCCTTGGACTTTCTTCATCGTCCCGTTCTCTAAGAAACATAAAGAGAACACAACATTTCGGAAATTGCATCTTTATCTGTCCCCAATTTCCGAAACGTTGTGTTCTCCAGTTTTTATAATCCCGGACGATGGACAAAGTTCAAAAGCCCAGTAATCCCAAGTGTTATACACCATCTTCAGAACCCTTTAGAATCTACTAATTTTTGGACAAACTTTGAGGTTTCCAGCGGCTGACGGCCGGGGTTCGATTACCTACAGGACCTTCCCTGTTCGCAACAATATCCCATCCAACTCTGGGGCCCACTCAGTATTCTATACGACAGTTACGACCGGGATTCGATTACCTACAGGACCTTCCCTGTTCACAACCATATCCCTTCCGACTCTGGGGCCCACTCAGTATTCTATATCATAGTTAACAGGGGTTTCCCCTGGGTAAAACTGACCACTCCCACCCAAAGCCAAAGGTAAAGCCAGGTGCCTGAAGTTCACGTCCCGTAAACACTGGAATAAATTTATACGTCGGTTTCAGTTCAGTGGAAATAGATAAGCCTTGTATGCACTGTTTTCGGAACGTAGCGCTTTTTGTATTCTGTTGTTATCTTGCGATAACGTAAATGTGACAGGTAGTTTCTGAGTATTAAATCGAGTGTCATTTTAGAGGATAATATTTATATCACAGTACACGAATCAACTTGTTGAATGTCGAGTGTCTATCATACCTGCCATTCATGCTACAGTCGCGCCGGGATTTAAAGATCCCTGGCTCCGTTTGCGTGTGACATAGCAATAAACAGCGACTGTTTCCCTATACGGCATTAACCGGTTGGGCTTTGTAGCAGAGACGTAACGAGTTTCCTGTGAGGTACGGACGGAGTTTTCGAAGAGTACCATCTTCTGGGATTTGGCACCGTGTACTGAGGTAGAGTTTCACAGATGCCTGGGAGGAACGCACTGCCTCTATCTTCAGGGTGGAAGAGGGAGTCTTGCTGGTTACTTACTTTGCTCACCCTTCGAGCCAGGAGAAGGAGACAGTACATACTTCCGAAATGTCTGTGAAGTTCCACAGGGTTGCACGTTG